CAAGAGATGATTAAACAGTGCACAGACAGCACTGATGCCTTGACAAAATTCTCACTACTCGTTTCTCCGAGTGCATCAGGTACCTTTCAGTCTCACCAAGATGCCGGGTCACAGAGCCTCAGCTTGCCTGATCCTCAGGGCTGACCCATAGAAAAGCACTGAAACGCAGCAGTAAAGAAATGTAACATTTCAGGGGAGTGAAAATGGAAGGTTAAACTTAGACTATCAGGAGCAAAATCATTCGTTTTAAAGAATATCAGCTCAGCACCTTCTGAGTATTCAAATAAAGAAGGGGGATCACACTACATTAAGAGCTGCAGATGATATTTCTAAGTGGATATTAAGAACAGCATGTGGATCTCGGGTCACGGCTTCATCCCAGTTATTAATTGCTGGAAAATGACTCACATCCCCATTCCTACTCAATTATGTAACTACTTTGTGAAGAAGACAGCAGACACTCTGACAAGATGAACTAAAAGATCATCAGTTCTCATCACATCCCAAGTGTCACCCATACCGGTTTTATATCTCCTTCGCTCCCCACTCCACCTCCCAGTGACAGATTTCTGAAGTTCACAAACAGCCATATGTCTCACACAATACTGGGACCAGGAGGTTACAACAAACCACCAACAAACAAAAAACCACCAGAAAACAACCATCAAAATTTATACCTACAAAAAAGAATGTCTTATTTTTTACTATATAAAAGGATGTGCCTAGCTGTCCAGCAGTCACCAGTTGAGAGCACCTTATGCTACTAAAACCACTGAACACCAGACTGCTATTAATAAAGAGTCGTTACTGAAGCTCTACCATTCACACAAAACACTATGCGTAACCTTAAACTAGACACAGAATTTGGCAAGTCCAAGCAGGATACTCAGCTGCTTGTAAAGTAGAGCACTACAACCATTTAGCAATGCATATCACTGCTCAGAAGCAGCAGAGTATGTTGCATCTCTCTTAAACTCCTAGAGGAAAGAAACTAATTGCCAGCATTAAAATGCAGCTAGGTCACTATGGTGAAAACGATATAATCAACTTGAAATCTAATCAATTAAAGTTCAGAGAAAAAGAAATTTCAGGTACTGTATTCAAATCCAAATTCCCACCTCTTGCTCTTGGTAAGGTCAGTCAATCATGCTTTGTTTCTCTTCTGTTTTATTCTCTTGTTTCCTTCTTTCTCACAATAAACAGTACAAGAAGATGATTAAAAGCCTGATTAGACAGCAAAAACTGAAATATTGTTGTAGGTGTTAATGGAAAATAACAAATGAGAAAATACCTTTTTTTCTTCATCTCCTTTAACCTTCAGGTACTGTGTGATAAGAATGCACATAAACAAAAACACCCATTTAGACACATTTAAGTTGAGAGTAGCTATCTAATGTCATGCTTTCCCAAAAAGGACCAGCAAACTTCTTCTTTTCCCTGATGATCATAGCACCTAAACAAGCACTCTTTCAGATACTATCATTATGCAGAATGCCACCCTCTGCAGCAATTACTGCTTCCCATCCAGCAATCATCCAAAGCCAAACCTACTTGACCTATTACCAGAGTTTTATTTAATCCCTCAAGTTCCATCACCTAAGATTAACAGGACTGGCACTTAGGCCTGCGACTTCGACATGATCATCTCTACAGAATATGGTATGAAATGTATCACAAATACTGGCCAACTTGTCACTCTTTAATTTTGTATTTTGAATACAGTGCTATATTTTTATATATGAGTCACCAACACTAGATGATGTTCCAGTCAGAAATCTACATGCCAAACCGCACATTCATCAGACCCAAATCCCAGCCTTCTCCCACCGCCACCAGCAAACCTGCAACAGGCAGAACTTCACAACAGAACACATGAAAAAAGTACTGTACCTACCAGACCTATCTTCAGAATTAACGAGGTTTCAGAACTCATAAAAAGCCCATTTTCTGTGTCAGTCAGTTAACGTGACAACGAGCCGTCCCACAAAGACACCACAATCCATTCACCCAAGCTCCTCTCCTGTACAACTGTTTTTCTTAGAGGGAGTGAGATCTCGTGGTTCATTTCCCACGCAACTATCTTCAGGGAAGAGTGTTTGGGCAAAGTCAGTGTAGGGATCAACAGCTCAGGTTCACTGAACTGCAGCAATGGACTGAAGGGCTCTGCTCCCTCCTGGGTGAGCATAAGCTAACAGCAGATGGAGGGAGGGATTGTTTTTCCTGTGAACACATCAGTTTTATGAAACATTACATTGTGGAGTTGAATTTCTACCAAATGAGGTGGGACTAGGTCACTTCAGAGCCATTTTCCCCAAAACAGTAAAATAAAGGAGAACATTGGACAAAACAAGATTATACTAGTCAGGGAGCGCATCAAAGAACACAGCACACTAACTCAACCCAGAAAGTTGTTTCCTTTTGGCGAAGGGCCTCTCTCCACCTCATCCTGAGTAAGTGTCTTTTTAAATATCTCTGCTATGTCTACAGAAGGCTGCACAGGTATAAAAAGAAACTGTTCAATAGGTATCGGCAAGATAATGGCAAAAATAAATTGGGTCCCAGTGGCACAACCCAGGAGAAGCAATGCAAATGACAGAATGGCAGAGAAATCTGTTAAGAAACCAACTATGTACACCCAACAAAAAGCATCTGAAGAGAAACATAACTGAGTAGGTTCGGTTTCTTTTGAAGATGGATCCAGACTAATCGGAAGCAGCTAAACAGGGAAGAAGTAAAAGCTAGCAGCCACGTTATGGTAACAGCCTCCTGTTCAAACGGTAGTTTCAAGTCTACAGTTCCTTATTCATTCTTCATCTATTATGCTTTAAGCTGACCTTCTGTTTTTGTACCAACCAAAACCAAATGCTAATCTCTTATTTTGTATTTCCAGAACTGTTACATCAACAGTTGCAAATCACCAGGACCAGATGGTAATTCATCCAGGAATGCTGAAGGAATTCAAGGATGAAATAGCTGAATAGCTGTGGTGAACCATCTCTTGCTTCAAACTGCCTTGGCCCACAGGGACCAGAAGACAGAAAATGTGAAAACATTTTCTTTTAAGAGCTCCAGAAGAGTTGTGAAAAGCTGCAGGCTGGGAAGCCTGATTTATTCTGGTGCACAAGGGAAACTCGAAGTGATGTAAGAGAATTAGAGGACACATGGGTAAGTATGTTACACTCAGAAAGAGCCCAGACAGCTTTTGTAAACGGAAAACCTGCTTCTCAAACCTATTAGAGTCCTTCAGATTCATCAACAAGCAAGTATGTAAGGGATTTCCACTGTGGAGCCCAGGTCCTCCTTCACAGATCTGTGCCAGAACCAAGGTTTGTTTCAACATATTTATAAAATCAGTCTGGAACAATGGAGGAGAGGAATAGTGTTGTGATTAAAACTGCTGGTCATACAGATTTTGAGGGGTTGAAAAGACCAAGACAACTCAAAAATAGCAGTAAATTACGTTCTGCCTCTTCCTTATCTCAAAAGGGACAAGGAGGTAGGGGCTACAGGTGTGGGGCAGGGCGGAGGAAAAACAAAATTAATCCAGGGGATAACAAAATAAAAGACAAGGGTGTCAAAGGATTAAAATGTATAGCAAGGAAACAGAAGAGGATATGACTGTGTTAAAGAAAATTGTGGTCTGATTCAGGCTGGCCACTCACATCTTCCGTTCTTCCTATGTCTAAATATACCTATATACTGCTTCTCAGACCCAGGTTAGTGCCAGAGAAAATGAAATTGAAATAGGCATTTAGTAGAATACTGTAACTCTGACACTTCAGAAGGCAGCATAAAATTAAGCATTACCATATTTTATCAAGGAGAAGACTGGTTTTACTTCAATTGTTTTTATACACTAAAAACAAGAGCTGGCAAATCATGTAACTTTTATTTTTACTACTATAACAGCAGCTGCTATTCTTAATTCATGTAAGTGTGTTAAAACAGTTAAGAACAAACATGCAACAACAAACTCAAAGCTTTCTTCCTGGAAAAGCATAAATGTGTTGAGTTTAGCAAGCACACAATTAAATTCTAGTCTACACTGCAGCTTATTATAAATCCACTCTCTGTCAACCGCAAAAAATTTCATTTCAAAATTGTCTATCCAGTTTTTACAATCTAGTCCTTAAACTCCCCCATGCGGTTGATTGCTAAATAACACTTCTTCACTCAGACCTCAGAACCTCGCAGAGGACAACTAAAAAGCAGCCCCCAAAACACGGACAGAGCCACAGAAACTTGAAGTGAAAGCTGAAGCCATCGTGGAGGACAGAGCAGGACGCTGCAGGCAGCACACGACTGCTCAGGTCTACAAACGACAGCACCAGAAGAAGCAGGAGTCACAGGGCTCAGACTTTATCCTCGCAGGACTGGATTTTCCTTCACCCCTCTTGGCTAATTACTTTATTCTGGTAAGGACGGCGGTGTTCTTCCACAAACGGCACTAGAGAATCGCTCTACTGTTCAGAGAGACTACATTACCTAAAGCAACATCTTTCAAAAAACCACATTTTATACCACCTCAAGCCATTAGAGATCTCAACAGCATTTAATTGATAAATTATATCTCATTGAAGCACATTTTCCCCGTTTTAAAAACTAAGCTGTATTATCCTCTCCCACATCTTGTTCACTGGTGCAGAGTCTTTACAAACAGCAAGTCCTAGCAGTGAGGATTAATCCCTAAATTTAAATGCACATAAACTACAAAGTATCATGAGATTCTGCAAGAAATGAAACACCTCCTTGTGAATTTAACGCTTGTCAGAAAGGAAGACAGGGAGGTGGTGGCAATACTACTTGATCAAAGATTGGCTGCACAGGTAGAAACAGTGCAACCTTCCTTTACATTTTTTCCAGCCCTTGGCTGGTGGAGCCAGTATCAGAAATCCTCCACTTATACTCATTGCCATCTCTGACAGGAATAACACTAACAAACAGGGTGAAATGTAATCTTTACTACGTCATAGGGCCTTGGCCACTGAAGTCTTACAAATGTGTTACCAGAGCATCTATTCAGAACCTACAACTAAACAGCCAAAACCTAGTCACGCATCTTCTGGATTTTCAGTTACAATAAGGCAAGTTTAGTTGTAAATGACATAAATATAAGAGACTTCACATCCTATAAATAAACTTGTCAAAATACCGTTGAAGATAGTAAAACCATTCACAAACATTTAGCGTAGCACTAACAAGACAGAAATCAGCACTATACATCCACATTTTATACACAGGAAACAAAGGCACATTCATTTTAAAGAACGCACATGTTATCCACACAGGAGAAATCAAAATCTTTCCTTTCCAAAGCCTAATTCTTTACATACAACTGTTCCACCCTTCAGCCTAAGGGAACTGACATAAGTACATATATATCTAAGCTTTTCTGCAGCCAAGAACTAACCCACAGAAATACCAACACACACCTGTAGAAATCACTCTCGGGGTCACTGTGCCTCAGCTGAAATGGCATTTTGGGGGTCTTGCTATCCAGAGGAAGCAGGTCATCAGGAAGAGGCGGAGAGGCTGGACGAGATGGCAGAGGTTCGTTGTCTTCGGTTTTTATGCCCTCTGCTTGCTGCTGGTTTTGGGCCTGAGCCATGGCGATCAGGCTGCGCAGCCGCCTGTTGTGCTGGATGAGCTGAATTGTGTGGATCGTGAGGCTGCAGGGCTCTGATGGGATGTCCAGCATCGTGGTCGGCCGGGGTTTATTTGCAGATGGCTGATGCAACGGAGGATCTTGGACTTCCACAGTACGAAACTCCCGCTGAAGCAGGTCAAAGGAGCTGCGGTTGGCCTGGTTAGACGAAACCGGAATCTCACCCCAGTATCGCAGCATTTTTACACAGGTCACGTATTGTCCTCAGAGCCCAGAAGAAGGTTACCAAATACTTTCTGAGGGAAAAGGGCAAGTGCAGAAGCAGGAGCTGGGGTGACGCTCTCAGTAAAGCAAACTATGAACGTCGAGAGAGCTGTCATTCAGGGCCTCACTGAACAGCACGGTTTCCACGATGGCATCAGGATGCAAGGCTGGTGTTTAACAGATGACATCGCTCCTTCTCCTGATGGGTAGGGGGAAGACAGAAACGCACCCATGAGACGGTAAATATTTCTGTTTGTAACAGGGCCTGGTGTGGCTCCACC